AAATACCAAAATACTTTAAGTTTTATAATTTGGTATCGAAAGCGTTTCCGTTACTTTATCTATAAAACCTTTGGTGTTGGGTACTTCTGGTTTTTTTAAAAAGGTTTTATAGCGTTCTTAAAAACCTTATTATAAAACTTTGACTCTTGGGGTTTTATAGCTTACTCCGTAAAACCCTTATAAATCTCGAAGCAGCTAATAAATATTCTACAGCAATTATTAAACCTGACGAACGTTATAAAACTTATAGGCCCATTAACAACTTTTTAATGTAGGAGAGGCCGCTAAGTTTTTGAGGTTATGATGTTTATTAATAATTATTGTTTTCCTAAATATGAAAATATGTCACAAGCTATAAGAAAGAATGGTAAAAATTGAATACAGTAGCAGCTCTTATAGAAAGTGTGCTGAAACCCGTGACAATGTTTTGCGAAGTGGACCAGGCGATAAATATTCCAAAACTCCGAATAATCAAAAAGAAATATACCAAAAATTTGGACTTTCATCACGACAATATTATATTGGCACAGAACAGAAGCATATTACAACAATTCGATTTAAGACAATGATCTGTTTTCTCAAATATAAGTTCAATAATTAAAGGCCCTTTTTTCTAATAAACAATAACTTAAAGTGAAGGTATGATTGCATGTTTGACATTTGACAATTTGTCATTTGCGCACTAATAGTTTTCAATGGGTTTTCCAGTTTTATACCGGTTACAAAAGGCTTTTGTGCAACTGATGTGAAGTTAGCAGCCAAAGGTTAGCGGCCATTTTCCCGAAGATTGCCGAACGACCAGTGGCGTCGGATGATAATTTAATTTGATGAATTTCAAATATTCCGGGGCACATCAGTTAGAAATAGTTCATAATAAATAATAATATATTTTATTTTTATGAAAAACAAACAAATTGATATGGAAATGCGGTACCAAATATAATCGAATAAAATTATCACATTCTCCCGGATTTTAGCTTTCCAGTCTTTGCTGCTTATCTACTGACCTTTAAAGTATAATTTTTCTTAAACACTACACACAACAACACTTTTGAACTTGCAAGATAGAAACAGGACTAATAAAGCTGAACTTTAGAGTACAAAACACGCACTTGGATAGGGTCTTTTGATTTCTTATTTCTAGCTGTTATCTTAAAATACTCGATATCTCGAAAACTACACATAGTAACACTTTCAAATTTGTAATGTGGAAAGGGGTTTAATAAAGCTAAAATTTAGTGTATCAAACATTTACTTGGAATGAGTCCTTCGAATTCTCATTTCTGGCTGCTATCTTAAAATACTCGAATTCTCGAAAACTACACATAGTAACACTTTCAAATTTGTAGAGTAGAAGGGGATTTAATAGAGCTAAAATTTAGTGCATCAAACATTTACTTGGAATGGGTCCTTCGATTTCCCATTTCTGGCTGCTATTTTAAAATACTCGATTTCTTGAAAACTACACATAGTAACACTTTCAAATTTGTAAGGTAGAAAGGGGTTAAATAAAGCTAAAATTTAGTGTATCTATTTATTTAGTGTACTAGGTGTAGTTTTCGAGAAATCGAGTATTTTAAGACAACAGCTAGAAATAAGAAATCAAAAGACCCTATCCAAATGCGTGTTTTGTACTCTAAAGTTCAGCTTTATTAGTCCTGTTTCTATCTTGCAAGTTCAAAAGTGTTGTTGTGTGTAGTGTTTAAGAAAAATTATACTTTAAAGGTCAGTAGATAAGCAGCAAAGACTGGAAAGCTAAAATCCGGGTGAATGTGATAATTTTATTCGATTATATTTGGTACCGCATTTCCATATCAATTTGTTTGTTTTTCATAAAAATAAAATATATTATTATTTATTATTAACTATTTCTAACTGATGTGCCCCGGAATATTTGAAATTCATCAAATTAAATTATCATCCGACGCCACTGGTCGTTCGGCAATCTTCGGGAAAATGGCCGCTAACCTTTGGCTGCTAACTTCACATCAGTCTCCTTATGTCCATAGGACAACGCTTTACCTGCTCTAAAACCACAATGCTAATATGGGCGAATAATCTTTCTTGACAACCTCTGTCACCTCAATGTTTTTCCCTTATTTGTTTTCTTTTTATTTTTTTGTCTTGACAACCGTAACGAATGTTCACTAGATTCTCTGCGTTTTAGTCGGCCATGCTACCCTATTTTCTGTCCCGGAAAAGGCACCACCAAAACCCTGTGAAACAACAAAATCTGTACAAAATATGCATATACATTTGTATGCTGAGAGAAAGTAAAAAAACGACGTGTGAGCTCCCACAGCATTTCTCAACTCTGTCTCACGAAAAAAAAAAAACGGTTCAGCATCCTAAAATATAAGCAATACCTATATAGAATGAGAAATCATAAGCACAAAACAAAATAACACATATACAGTAAATTGCGTTACCAGTTACTTCCGGTTAAACCGGAAGTGGCCATAACTTTTGATTTTCAAATGGGACACCCGGTATTTTTTGAGGTTTCTGGCATCAGCAGATCATTTTACGTATGATAGGACCATTTATGAAAGATTTATAGCAAAACCAAAAAAAAATCGCATTTAAAAATTAAGATTTTTCAAGAGTAATTGGGTTATTTTTCAGCGGATTTTCAAAATGTTGATATCAAAAAATAGGGAAAAAAATCTAGTATCAAAAAATTGATAGGTCCCAGCGTGGTTAGATCTGGAAAATTTCGAATACTTTGGAAAAACCTCTTTAACTTAAAAAATACGGGGTGTCCTATTTGAAAATCAAAAGTTATGGCCACTTCTGGTTAAACCGGAAGTGACTGGTGACGCAATTTACTTCTAAAAAACTCAAAAAGTTGTCTTGTTTAAGCTCCCCAAATTTAAAATTTTGAACTTATTTATTAAATAAATTGGTAAAACAAAAAAATTCTACGAGTGTGCGCAAAGTAACTACTTTGCGCACACTTTTGTGTACGCAAAGAAGCCCTTTCCCAAAAGTGTGCGCAAAGTAACTACTTTGTGCACACTATGCGGGAAATTTTTTTTCCCGCACACTTTTTTTTCTGGTACCAATAATAAAATCTGGGGACCCCCTATTTTTGGGGCAAAGCCCTGCGAGAGCCCCATATTTGGGGGGCGGAGTCCCGCGGGAGCCACTTTTTTTGAGGGGCACAGCCTCGCGGGGCCCCTGTTTGGGGGGGGGGGGGGGGCGAAGCCCTATATTTGGGGGGTAAAGCTCTATATTTGGCTGCGAGGGCCCCATATTTGGGGGGGCGGAGCCTCGCGGAAGCCCCTTTTTTGGGGGGCACAGCCCAGCGGGCCCCCTTTTTTATGGGGCAAAGCCCCGCGGAGAGAGGAGGAATTTTTTTTTGGCCGATTTAGATATATGTACGTAGTTAGTTACAACAAATTGTTTTGGATGCCTATAGAAATTAAAAATTTAAAAAGGAAATATAATTATTTCACTCGTAGAAAAAATATTGTTCCTAACACGTGCGCAAAGTAGTTTTCCCGCACTTAAAGCTTATCCGAACTCCGCTTCGCGTCGTTCGTCTAACTGCTTTTGCGTGCGGGAAAACATAACTTTGCGCACTGATTAGGAAAACTACTATTTTAAGTCACAAGCTTTTATAAAATGCACTAAAAATTAAAATAGTTATTTATGATATAAGTGTTAAAAGTACATTTTTAAGGCACGCATGTGAAAGTTTGCAGAATGAGCGAAGCGAATTCTGCAATTCACATAAGTGCCTTAAAATAGTTATTTATGATATAAGTGCTAAAAGTGACATTTTATTTTGTGAAAAGGGAAGTTTGGGACACGACGCCGAAGGCGGAGTGTTCCATCCCTTTGAACAAAATAAAATCACTTTTAGCACGAATATCATACACAATTTTTTCTACAAACGCACTAAAAGTGATTACTTTTAGCACTAGTGCTAAAAGTAATCACTTTTAACACCAGTGTCATAAAATTGCATTTTAGACACTGACAGCATCCGTTAAAAATGACACTTTTAGTGACGTTTGTAGAAAAATACTTTTAACACAAATATTATACAATATTTTTTTCTAAAAACGGCAATAAGAAGCAACAACTAATAACAAATTGAATTTTTAAATGAATAATAAATTGGAAGCATCTTTCCTACATAAGATTATTGAATTTGACATTTGTCAAAAAATCCAAACAACCAGCACCTTGTTTTACAGGTAACGAAATTGTCAGTTTCTTGAAAGTCTGTCGTGGTCAGTAATGCTTTTTGCTAAAAATGCAACAAAATACAGAAGAAAAAGAGGGTTGCATCGATCCCTTGAAAAATATAGATGAGGCGGCCAATCGGGCTACCTCAGTTGTTCAAATTTTACCATTAATATCAATGTAAATAACTAAAATTACAAACTTTTTTTGACGTTCGCTCTCAAAATTTGATGTTTCATTTTTAACACTAGTGCGATAAAGACTTTATGGCACTAGTGCGATAAAGTAACATTTTTAATGCTACGGGAGGGTGTTAAAAATTGCATTTTTATCACGTTTGTAGAAAAATAACATTTGCTGATGTTTTTTCAAATTAAAATAATAAATGTTTGAAAAATGAGTATTAATTAGGGTCAGTTTGAAATTCATTTTCAAAAATGTGAAATCAAATTTCGTTTGTGAAAAACTAGTTTTCGTTACTTTGAAATCAATTTTCATTTAGGCGAAATTAGATTTCACTGATGTGAATTTAGTTTTCATTAATTTGAAATCAAATTTCACTAGTGTGAAATAATTCTGGAAATGGTATAGTAATGAAATGTCAAATACATCACCATACCAGCACATGCAAAAAAGGTAATACGTCAACAACTTGTCGATTTAATTTTCCACGTCCAATTTGTGAACAAACACATATCGTTGAGCCCCAATCAAATGAATTTATACGGAATGGTGGTCGTATTTGCTTGCTGAAAAGAACAAATCAAGAACAATGGGTTAATACATACAATCCTAAATTGCTGAAAATGTGGCAGGCTAATATAGATATGCAGCCTTGCGGTTCAAATGAATCCATCGCGTATTATATAGCAAAATATTTATCAAAATGCGAACCAACAGATCTTGATAGTGGAATCGTACAAGCTATTCAGCAAATTAGACGAGAACAGTGTGACGTATCTCGGAAACTCTTCAAAATTTGCATGAGAATAATGAAAGAGCGTCAAGTATCCGCGTGTGAATGTGTTTATCGTCTATGTCATTTGCCTCTTCGAGATAGCTCAAGAAAAACCGTATTTGTTAACACTCGCAAACCACAACAACGTTATAAGGTACTTAAATTTAATGAACAAGGCCAAGCTGTGGGATACTGCGCCAATATCTTCGAAAGGTATGAAAAACGTCCCAGAGAACATCCTGATTATGATTTCAATAACATGAGTTTATTGGAGTTTGCTATGTTGTTTGAACCCTATTACAAAAAAACCATTGAAAATGATGACGTTAACATTGATCAAGATGCCTATGAAGTGGAGCAACCCAAAAGAAAATGTTTAATAACACTTACAGATAATACGAAAGTTATTAAAAGAGCTACACTCCTGCAGTAGTTCGTGTTCCCCATTTTGTTGCTTCAACGGAACCTGAAAATTACTATTACAGTTTACTTATGCAATATATACCATATCGAGATGAAGAAGAATTGCTAAGAGGCTTTGGCACAGCTCGAGATGCATTTTTGACTTCTGAAGATAGACTTAAAGAAATAAGTGCTTATATGGAGCTTTATCGCCGAAGAGACAAACAACTAGAAGATGCATTCAACCAAGTACATGCTTTTCAGATCCTTGAAGAAGTTCAGCCACTTCAGCCCGATAATGAAGAAGAAATCGTTGAACAAGTAGATGTTATGAATGAAAATGATTTTCAAACAGCAAAACAAGCCATGAATGCAGGTCAAAAAGAAATATATTTTATGGTGACTAAAAGTATCCAAGATCAAATGAATGGTAAAGATGAAAGACTAAGATTTTTTTTCACTGGTGGTGCTGGAGTAGGAAAAACTTTTCTTTTAAACTTATTGAGAAATCAAATCAATAGATGTTATGCAAAAGTTGCAGTTAAAGTAGCAGCTTTAACGGGTGTAGCAGCACGCTTGATAAATGGGTCTACTCTACATTCTACACTTAGGCTTCCTGTTCAAAAAGATGGTCGTATCACTAATATGCCATTGTTGACAGGAAACTATTTACGGGTTATGAGACAACAATGGAAAGATACAGAGTTCTTCATTATCGATGAGATTTCGATGTTTTCATATCAGATGTTAACAATGATCGACTCAAGGCTTCGACAATTAAAGAATAGGGAAAATGAGTTCTTTGGCGGTATCAATGTGCTTTTATTTGGCGACCTATTGCAACTTCCTCCAATCAAGACATCAGGAACACCAGTGTATAAACAGCCTGAACATATGCACCCTGCAACAAATTTGTGGAGACTGTTTACGCTGTGTGAACTTACTGAAAATATGCGCCAACAAGGCGATAACAGTTTTATCGACATCCTTAACGCATTACGCGTTGGAGAACTAAAAGCAGAGCATTTATCGAAATTGCTAGAAAAAGTTCTCGTGCAGCCATCTGGAGAGTTTTCTATAGGTAAAGCGTTACGAATTTATCCAACCAATAAGCAGGTTGATGATCACAATAAGTCTGTTATCGAATACTTTAAGACTGAAAATGTTACCATATACAGGATGGTTGATGGTCGATGGTAGGTTAGACGTTTATGGAAAACGGAATGTTGGATATTTTTGAAAATTTGCATGCCCAAGTAATTGCTCCTGATCTATCATTCTAAAATAATTTCTACGATGCGACGTTGCCGCTTATACCAAAAAGTAATAGGAACTTTGAAATTTTAACCGAGACACCCTGTATATTATTGCATTTTTCGCTCCGCTATTACTTTCTGATCATTTTTGTATAATACTGTCCTATACCTATCTCTAGTGATTTTCGACTTATTAAATAATTTCTTTATTTTTTCTTCAAAACATAGCTCTAGTTAAATTTGTATTACAACGTCGCTGAGATTCGTAGAATGTTTAAATTTTGGAGATAACTTAGGGAGGTCCTGCATATTACTTTTGAGCAAGAAAATTTGTTCTACATCATACAGGGTTGGTCAAAATTAGTAATTGTGCTGCCAGGTACAAAAAAGATGAAAAGTGCACTTTTTCAAATAGAACACCCTGTATAATATGAAATATTATGAAAGGCAATTAAAATCCTTTACAAATGATGTATCATGTTCCTATACCTAAATACATAGTAAGGTTTCGGAAATACAGGCAAGTTTCTGTTAGAATTGTATTATTTTGGGATATTTGTCTAATGGCGTTTCCAATTGGTAGATTTAATTCACAGCAGATAGAAATACTTTTTCTTTACACTTATTCTACCAACCCGAACCGTCATTAAATAGCTATGTCACGATGAAACATATTAGGTAATTCAAACGATACAAACCACATGATTGGCAGGTGATTGGAACCATGGTTATTATCTAGGATTAAAAACCAATGCATAAGATGGTCCACTTTTTACAATGTGTGATATGCAAAAATATTGTCATTGTTTTGTTTTTGTCTCCTTCCTACTCACGGTGTTTTTGACAGATCAATCCAATGACGTCATAAAAGTCTAAGGTATTATAGGCATCTATGGAAGTGGGTCATACATTTTAATATGACTATTTCCCTCCTGTTAATTTTTACCAATCAGAAGTGATAATTTTGGTGTCAAAAATAATTTTTAATTAAAAAAATTGCCTGCCATCAGCTGTCAGCAAGATTATTTGGTTTTGCCCACAGCAAAACTTTACAAAACGTCAAAAAGAAGATATCTACAAAAAAATTGTAGCTAGAATATGCAAAAAGTTCAACGAGATGTACCCTGATTTACGATTTACGACCAATGAATGAAAGAAAATTTGTTCGGACCCAATAGTTATTTGTATACCAAGGCCGCGAAATGCCTTTTTAGCGTACGTAGACAAAAGTTATCGCCGAGGCAAGATATTCTCAAGTACGCTAAAAAGTTTCGCGGTCATGGTATACACACTATTTTTTGCGCAACTATAAAAATTATGTAAAGTTACAGAAAAACTGTATGAATTTGACAAGGATTTGACCCATTTTGCACGTCAAGTGTAAAGGCCGCGAAATCGAATTTTGCGGACGGTTGCGCAAAAAATAACTATACAATTTGGTTCAAAACTTAAGAATGAACCAAGCTTAACCAAGCCTGTAACGTCTGATGAAGAAACATCGTGAATGTCTCAGCCTACTTACACGCATTTCCCCAAGCTTCCATCCGAAGTGCAGCAGGTGATTTAGGCCTGAGCAAATTAAAAAGACCCCTATAAATGTGCAGAAAATTTTTAACGATCATAATATGCATCCCTTCAAATTCACAAAAGTTCAACAGCTGGAACCGGATGATTACCAACGTCAAATTCGATATTAAGAGACACTTCTGACACACACTTATGAGTATCTAAACTTTCTAAAAAAAATTAATATGGACTAATGAAGCTAAATTTTCTAGAGAAGGTATTTTTGATAGGAGAAATCAACACTTTAGGGCTAATCAAAATCCATATGCGGTCAAGGAAAAAAAGATCCCAAACCCCCAGTTGCAACAAAATAGGCTGTGACAGTATTTTGTCTACTACCTCACGTAAAGTACTCACTTTATGCACTATTGCAAAGACATTAAATTTCACTCCACACACTAGTGCGTAAAGTAATGCCAATCACAGATGTCGACACTGTCAATTTAGTATTTTTCTTTTTCTGGTAAATTACTTCACATTTGTCTAAATTTATGTTTCTCACATATTTTATCGATAGTAGAAAAAATGTTGTATGCAATAAGTGTGTACAGTACCTTTTTTTACTCATGTGATTGTCGCACGTCACATTCGTGAAAAAAAGTTTACTTAACACACTTGTTACTGCTATTTAAAGACTTAATTTTTAAATACCTAATCAAATTCTTACAGAAACTTGCCTGTATTTCCGAAACCTCACTATTTAGGTATAGGAACATGATACATCATTTGTAAGGGATTTTAACTGCCTTTCATAATATTTCATAATATACAGGGTGTTCTATTTGAAAAAGTGCACTTTTCATCTTTTTTGTACCTGGCAGCACAATTACTACCTCAGGGACGTAGTAATACAAATTTAACTAGAGCTATGTTTTGAAGAAAAAATAAAGAAATTATTTAATAAGTCGAAAATCACTAGAGATAGGTATAGGATAGTATTATACAAAAATGATCAGAAAGTAATAGCGAAGCGAAAAATGCAATAATATACAGGGTGTCTCATTTAAAATTTCAAAGTTCATATCACTTTTTGGTATAAGCGGCAACGTCGCATCGTTGAAATTATTTTAGAATGATAGATCAGGAGCAATTACTTGGGCATGCAAATTTTCAAAAATATCCAACATTCCGTTTTCCATAAACGTCTAACCTACCATCGACCATCAATCACCCTGTATAGGATAAAAGCTCAAGATCGAATAGTAGATGCATGAAGAAACATCGAAAATATCAAGATAGATGACATAATTTCTATCGATGTCAACAAAACTGGAGGCTTACCGAAAGAACTTCAAATCTTTGTTGGTGCGAAAATAATGTTACGCTCTAATATTGATATCACGAAAGGATTGGTCAATGGTGCCATTGGTTTTGTTACAGAAATTATCTGGCCTCATTTTCGTCGTACTCAAATTTATGAGACAGACATTCCATCAGTCCGTGTTGATTTTGGAAAAGATGGAATACAAGTCATTCAACCTAAGACGATACAGTTTCCAGCTAAATTCAGTTACGGGACGGCAGAAAGACGAATGCTTCCACTGATTTTTTCATGGGCAACAACAGTGCACAAAATGCAAGGTAGCACTGTGGAAAACGCCGTCATATATCTAGGACCAAAGTTATTTGAAGAAGGGCAAACTTGTGTGGCTCTAAGTCGTGTGAAGTCTCTGAACGGTCTTAGAATTGAAGAGCTAGATTGCGCAAAATTAACAGGAAAAAACCATGTAACAATGAGGCACTATTAGAAATTGGAAGGATGAGAAGTATACATTGAAAGTCCTTTTCATTACCGCAGGTATAACTGCTAATATATAACTCTGCACTAAGAGTTCAAAAATGTAATATCATAAACTTTTTGAACAAATATTTTCATTTAATAGGGTAGATAGATGAGACTAAAAAGTAGAAAATAAATTGATTAAAAAAAAAATTTAAGTCACAAGCTTTTATAAAATGCACTAAAAATTAAAAAATAATTTTCCAGCATTCTGATATTATCATAATAATAAAAGCGATGGCCGCAAATCAAAGCATAAGTTAATCTAAATTTGTGATCTAAAAACTTAAAGAATATTCAACATAGCAGGTCATCAAAGATATGTTTGATGTGCCGCAATGTTATGCCATTGCCATACCTATGTCAGAGAAATGCTAGGGTATCTTGGGTCGGTTTGGGTAAGTTTGGTACCTCTGCATTTTTCTGCTAGACAGATTCTTGCAAATAGTGATATTTAATTGATACTGATATCTTATCGTGCTAACATCGTCAAAATTTCCATGAGTCGGCCATCGCTTTTATTATTATGATAATATCAGAATGCTGGAAAATTATTTTATTTCACCCTAATGAAATAAACCCACTGAGTTTACATAACATAAAATACAATCATGAAACAACAATAATAATTATAAATTATTATTGAACTTAAGTTGAGTCTTCTCACTCTTGAGATAGCCGCATTATACCTTTTCACGTGATTTGCCAAACTGAAGACAACTTTATTTATTTCTAGGAGGAATGGAAATAATGTTCAGCTTTCTTGGACTGATTTATTAAATTTACAAATCAAATAGCCAACGTTTCGATGCTGGTTATTAGCATCATCATCAGGGCCAGATTATTCTAATTAAAACTCAAAAACATTGTATAAAATGCAAAACGTTAAAAATGTTTATATTATGGACTACCATCATTGCCGCCAAAATCTGAGGTTTTACAATGTTTTTGAGTTTTAATTAGAATAATCTGGCCCTGATGATGATGCGAACCAGTATCGAAACGTTGGCTATTTGATATTTAAATTTAATAAATCAGTACATGCAAGCTGAACATTATTTTCATTCCTCATAAAAATAAATAACGTTGTTGATGTTTTTTCAAATTGAAATAATAAATGTTTGAAAAATGAGTATTAATTAGGGTCAGTTTGAAATTAATTTTCAAAAATGTGAAATCAAATTTCGTTTGTGAGAAATTAGTTTTCGTTACTTTGAAATCAATTTTCATTTGAGCGAAATTAGATTTCACTGATGTGAATTTAGTTTTCATTAATTTGAAATCAAATTTCACTAGTGTGAAATAATGCTGGAAATGGTATAGATCGTATAAATCTGAATCTTTTGGTGGAATTTCTCACGAACAAACTTTATCTACTAGGGCAATTCCTTCAGGTGTTTCAATAGGAGGGTGACCCTCAACCCAAAAAAGTGCATGCAAGTGCGGATTTCCACGGTTCTGGAATTCAATACGCCACCAATGATCTTTAACTGGTCCACCTAGTACTTCTCGATCATTCTTGATGTAACGCATTAATGCATTAACCCGAATCATAAAATGGCGACTTACGACCACCGGATATTGTTCTACTAAACTTTGGGTTGCAATGAGGTCAAGATCATCTGGATTATCATTAGGCCTACCATCTGCTATCAAAAGTGCTTTCTTCATATCTTCCCAATGTAAGTCATTGCAACTAAATGTTCCAAAATAGGTTGGTGAATCTAAACATCTGATTTGTGCTACTAAATCTCTCAATGCTGTATGCAGATGAACCTCTTAAATTTTTCAAATATAGATGAAGGTCTTCAATTCTACCATCTAGACCTTCAATTTTTTTACAACAGGCCGAGATAGTAGATTTCACCCTGTAATATTCAAACATAGAAAGTGCATAAAACAGATAGTCATTTCTTTGAAATCGATTATCACTACCAAGTATACGATATTGATAGTAATCTAACGCTGTAATTGTAACAGGCCGTTCTTGTTTTAATCCATTTAGACCATATGGAAACAAAAAAAACCATGAAAGCTCCTCAGCTTTGAGCTCATGAGCTTCGTTGACAATGTTGTCCTTTGTTTTACGTTTTATTTCATTGATATTCTCTGACACTTCAAGTTCATCCGTGACATCTGGTTGCACACAATCTATTGGCAGCATAACAGAAGTTTTCAAACAGGGATTATGCACTTGCGGCGAATGCTGGATTGTTGGGGTAATATTAGTAATTTGAATCTGTGGTGATGGTTGAATTATTGGTGGGTTCTCAGGTTATCTCGTTTTGGGGGCCATCAGAATTAATATTGTTGATGACAGTTACATCAACATAGTTTAAAGTGTACTGCCGATTTCCCGATCCAGTTGTTCGCTTGCATATCCGACATAGTTCTCCGATTGAATCACATTCGATGACGCAGGCTTTTCCATCACGAACTGCTTTAGATCCCTTGGGTCCACATAAGTGCAAATCGCTAAAATAGAACTTATCATCATAATGCATAACGGCAAAAGCTTTTGAATCGGCTATCAATATTCCTGCGCCATGATCCACGAAAAGATCAGTCAGAGCTGCGTGAAGTGTCAAACCAATATTGTCTCTATTCATGTTATCTTGGAGATTTCCAAATAGAAGAGTGTCGATATCATAGTCGATTGAAAACGTCCTATTGAACATTCGGAGATCATGCCCTATAACGTTGAAATTACTAACATTCAAGAAACCACTTAAATCAAGGTCATGTGGCGGTGTTAGGTTGCGGATAGTTTTGTATATTTTATCACCTTCAATCATGTTCGTTTTCACTATATGTGTTAACCATTGACCTGGCGGTAATATCGAGGCTCTCACTACATTTGCTAGCGACATAGCACAACATTGAACCCCAGCATATCCGGACGTGAAAATGTCGCTATTTCCTTGGTGCCACGAAGCTCTTATAATTCTTGATGCATTATTTATTGTCACGAATACATTTTTTAGTAGTTGCTCGTTTCGTAAAACAGGTTCATTGTCAGCAATTTGTAATTATTCTTGTTCGGCAACTTTTACGATGCTATTTTCTTCAATTTGAACATTATCGTCTATAGTTAAGTCCTTATACAAAGGATTGTTGGTGATCAACCATCTCGGGGCGGAATATACACGATCACGCGATATTGAAAATTCACGAGTAATATTCAAGTTGTCAAGATGTTCAGTGATTACTACCGATCCCGATTCATTAGCTGATCTTGGCAGCATATTTGGAAGCTTTTCGCTTACTTCAAAGATATTTTGAGCAAACAATACCGCTTGACCACGAAAACCATACTGACCGAAAATTCCGCTAAATTTTATAACTTTTACAAATGGTATTATTCGTGACAAAAGACGTTGTTCTAATTGTGTTAGGACGCTCAATGATTCGGGTATAGAGCCAGGCTCTAGATTGTTCCAGTAAGCTTTAGACGGAGCAGTATTTTTGCTACTGGTAACATGTGTTCGACATCGCGAGCATACCATCAACAAGTTTTTGGCTGCTAATAGTGGTGGAAGATATGACAAGGCCGTTACATTATACCTAACATGGAAAACTTGTTTTGGATAACATAGTTTTGTACAAATCTCACACACACGGTCGCTGTAAAAGTTTATTTCTTTTTCGAAATTTAGTGTATTCTCTTTTCTTTTTTTTCTCAACGGCTCCAAGCATGCTTCACGTTGCTCGGGTGTTATTTGAGATCTAGAGTCAGCATCACGCTTCCGTTTTTGTGCTAACCAATCATTCCGAGTCTCTAGTGTCATCTGAGATCTTGAAGTTGCTTCACTTTGACGCATACGAGCTAACTGAGATGCCCGCTTTTCAGGTGTCAACTGAGATCTTAAATTAGCTTCATTTTCTCGCATACGTGCCAATCGATTTGCTCGCTGATTGGGACTCATCTGAGATCTTAGAGTTGCTTCACTTTGACGCATACGAGCTAACTGAGATGCCCGCTTTTCAGGTGTCATCTGAAATCTTAAAGTAGCTTCATTCTCTCGCATACGACTCAGATGAGCTTCTCGTTGCTCTAGTGTCATTTCAGATTGCTTTTCTTGGTACTTCAGTTTTGCTTTTTGTAGTCTTCTTTTTCGTTGTGTTAAAGTTTCTTTACTATTTTGCCTTTTCATTTTATTCCCACGAGTACTGGACAAATATTCGGTCATCCCTCCCATAGGTCCATATAGAAGGGAAAGGCTCTTATACAACGGGGTGTGCCTGCGTCCCGAGGGCGCAATGCTTGCGACACATCATTTTTAGCCACCCTAGTGCCATTCAGTCCTCGGCGCATTACAAACCTTGACTTGGGTGGTGTGACACTAGCGACACATAATTTTTAGCCACCCTAGTGTCATACAGTCCTCGGCGGGCCACTAACCTTGACTTGGGTGGGGTTCTCTTGAAAAACAGTTTCATTTATGGATAGGGTGTGGGAAGAGGTGAAAGTAGCAAGAGAATAACAGAACAGAAGAGTTTATACTGGCTTATAATCAAATCGCTGATCGTGAGTCGTTTGGAAACTCATTTTTCTATTGGGGTGGGAGGATGGGGGTAGAGGTAGAAATATATTTTTTGTTTGCACTGTATTGCCATCGGACCTTTATGCATATACCGAATTTTATAAAAGTCATTTGAAGTGAAGTGTGTCAAAAACGCATTTTTCCATGGAAGGGGGTGGGAGGACATTTTTTTCTTATTGTTGTATTGTCATCGGACCACTATATGTATACCAAATTTCATCCAAATCGGATAATGGGAAGTGTGTCAAAAACGCATTTTTCTATGGAAGGGGGTGGGGATAGGAGTGAGAGGATATTTTTTTCAATGTATTGTCATCGGACCACTATATGTATACCAAATTTTATCCAAATCGGATAATGGGAAAGGTGTCAAAAACGCATTTTCTATGGAAGGGGGTGGGGGTAGGGGTGGGAGGATATTTTTTTCTTAATGTTGTATTGTCATCGGACCACTATGTGTATACCAAATTTCATCCAAATCGGATAATGGGAAGTGTGTCAAAAATGCATTTTTCTATGGAAGGGGGTGGGGGTAAGGGTGGGAGGATATTTTTTTTCTTAATATTGTATTGTCATCGGATCACTATATGTATACCAAATTTCATCCAAATCGGATAACGGGAAGTGTGTCAAAAACAAATTTTTCTATGGAAGGGGGTGGGGGTAGGGGTGGGAGCATATTTTTTTCTTATTGTTGTATTATCATCGGACCACTATGTGTATACCAAATTTTATCCAAATCAGATAACGGTAAGTGTGTCAAAAACACATTTTTCTATAGAAGGGGGTGGGGGTAGGGGTGGGAGGATATTTTTTTCTTAATGTTGTATTGTCATGGGACCACTATGTGTGTACCAAATTTCAAATTCCGACTTATAAGTCGGAATTCTGACTTATAAGTCGGAATATTAGATATAAACCGCATAAACCGTCCTCTATCGATTTATCAGACGCACTCTGTGTTTAGTAGTTTGCGTTTGGTTGGGAAGAAATTAGAAATTACTTTTCCATTCGTTTTTTGTAGTGTTAGTGTTGCAGTCAGTACGTTCTCTACAATTTGCTATGAGAGACTCCGAAGATGAGGTAAGTACATATTGTTATTTATACTTTTCCATAAGGTGCATGTTCAGAATAGAGGGTTCTACATTAAAATAGACATGTTCCTGAAGAAGTGTTGTGAAATATTACCTTTATAATGAAAATAACGTTAACTATGATCTGTTACCAGGGAAAATCCAATTAGTTTCAAACTAAAAAAGACATACATCAAAAATGAGTGTAAAATTGCATTTCGTTGACATTTTCTGAGTTTTTTCCTTTATTTTTATTTTGTTTGCTATCCAATCAGTTATTAATTATTAATATATAGGGTGTTCTGTGTCCCATCAAAACAATCGGACTCTGGTTAATATCTCGAATTCGGGAACAAATAGAAAAAAAATCTGAGAAAGTCACTGGATTCTCTAGCCACAAAACGGTTCAAGACATCACAAAATTTGAGGGTGGGGGTTAATTTTTTTGTATCTCGCTCAGAAATTGATGTTTTCTATCAAATTGGACAACCCTGCACATATCAAAAAACCGAAAATCACAAATGAAAATACGTATTTCAAATAAAAATATAACACATTTATTTATCTGATAAAAACAAAACAATAAATTGAACAATAGTGTTCCTTGGAAAATTTTTCAATAACATTTTATTGGAAAATTTTTCCATGAACTTTTATTGGAAAATTCCTTTATAAAATTTTTCTATCTATGATTTTTTTAAAAAAAAATAGTAGTTTTTGAGGCTCTCAGAGGGGGCGCGCGCCCCCCTCCCCCCCTGGATCCGCCATTGGTACATGTACGGTTTTCTGCTTTCTTGGAACAAAGCTAAAACTTTAAAAAAAAAAATTAATATTAATTCGGCCCTATTGTTACTAACTAGAAAATTGGGATTTACATTTACCGTCGGGTCGGTTGGGGTACTGTATTACGCAATAGTTTTTTTGCCCCACTCACTTATTCATATTTATATTTATTACTTTATCTGTTTATATTTTTTTTGGGGGGGTTTTTGTCGAACAAGAGATTTACGATTTACATTATTTAGATTAGTCAGTCGAGTAAGGATCGTTGGACAAGAAGTACCGCAAAGTCGCGTCAGAGAATTATGGATTTTTTTCTCAAACAAGTTAGGATTTTCCGACTATTGTGTTGTGTGCCTATAGTGTAGGTACCAATTGACTTCTGGATTTTGGTAAGTACCTACCTCAAAAATTATTTTTTTGGTAATTGGGATTTTTTTTTTCAATTTAAATTATGATTCATTTGATTCTCTATAACTATGGGCAACTAGTAAATTATACAGGGTGTCCAACAAAAATTAGTTTTCCAGAAAATCTTTCGCGCATATTTTCATCATAATTTTTTTTTTTGATTTGGCTTTCCAAAAGTGCGTTAATGAAGAAAGTATAGATGGGCTTGTGTGAGGGTTGAATGATCCCGGGATGTAGATTGTTGTGAGATAGAATGCTGGGTTCTGGATATGTAGGATGTAGGTATTATTGGAATAGAATGCTATATGCTGGATGTAGGTACTGTTGTATATAGTCTATCGTTTCTCAAATGAGACAAAACAAAAATTGGGGTCTCCCCAAATTATCGTATCGCATGTTGAAATTGTTACTATTATCAGGCAAAATATATTGTACATTGGATGCGAATCCACATGCAAACAATGCATCTTATTGGTAGTTTTAGAATTTTCATTACAGTCAATGTTGACTCCAGGAATATCTTATTGGTTAGATTTTTTTAGTGCGGTATATTTCTTTGAAGCCGCACAGGAATCAGCTTCGTCTGGAAAACCAGTGCAGTAGATATTTTTTTATAAATTTGATTCCTATTTATCGTGCTTTATGTTTTATTTTATATAAAATTATTTTAATTAATTTCTCTTACTCCGCCCATGTTTCATAAAGAAAATGCCAAAGGAGTTTTATGTTTTTTTTTTTTTACTGTCTCATTTGACTATCGGTAGACTATAATAGAATGTATGAGTGTCCCAAAAAAAATATTGATTTTGCCCAGCTTTCAATTGAATGGCCACTTTACTACCACTAGCAATAACCCAACTAACCCATATTAACACACCTTGAGATAATTGCTATTGGCAGTCCACTATAAACATTCTCAGCTATTTCCAAAATGATACAAACATCTTACAAAATAATACTCTATAGCTGATTGCTATAAAGATAGTATAGCTAGTTATGTAGCTATATTTTTCAAAAAGGCAATTTGAAAAATTTCAATTTTTTTGAGACACTCATCATGGA